GGCCCATTTTGCACACCCCAACAAATGGTTTCATTTTTCTGAAGAATGCTCAAATTACAAAGTTTGAAAAACACTGTTCTAGCTGAGGTGGATCAACATGATTTTGCCCTCTCTCTCTCTCTCCTGCTAAGGCTTTATCTATACTTAAAAAAGTTTTACCGTTTTGATATGGTATAGTTAACACAGCCACAGACTCCTCGTCTGGGTGCAATTACAATGATTGCAAGCAGTTGAACTGATTGTACTTGTTATTGTACAATATTAGATAGACGTCATGAAACAAAATAAACTATACTTGCATATAATTGCATCTTTGTTAGGGCTCGTAATCAGTATACTATATCAGTAAAAAAAAACATACAACTTCTGACATAGGTATGGTAGTAAACCTTTTTTTAGTGTAGCCCTGATAACATACACACACCTTGCTGCAGCAAATGCTTCACAGACCCAGGAGACAGAACTCTCTCTCCACATTCCCACAGTATGTTCCCCAGCAGCAATGTGACAGGAGATGAAGAATGAGGGAAAATGAGAAGAGAGAGAAGCTCACTTTTCAGCCAGTCCTGTAAATCCATCATGGGCAAGGCCAAAGCAATCACCTGTAGCGATAACCTTCCCTTTTGTCCCTGGCCAGCGATAAGGGGATGAGAATGACACACAAAATGACACAAGACCCTCTCCCTACTTTTGGGCTCCATAGAGGAGTGAGAACCTCAGGGTAGCAGAGGGGAGAAATATGTGAGCAGAGATGGACTCCTGACTGCTGCACTGAGTGGAGCTTTGGCACCAGTTTCAGCTAGGATGTAAAAAGTGCTCTCTCTGCAGCACTCATAAAACTGAAGCTGCTAAAGATTAACTTCCCAGAACTGACTGCAGCTGCTGCAAAGGGGAGGAGGCTATGGAGAATAGCGTAAACCCAAGTCGGAGAGCTGTGGAGGCTACAGCAAGAATACCAAGGGAACTGCGGATCAGGATTGAAGTTGTTGAACTGCGGATCAGGATAACAGATTTGGAATAATAGGGTGGGGAGGAGCTATATGGCAAGACACTGACATAAGTGTGTGGGCAAAAGTAGGAGGAAGGATTACAAAAATGGAAATATCCTGTAGTGAGAACTGTTTTCAGTCCATTTATGTTGACAACTGAAAACAAAACTAGGACCTAATAAGTTCACTAAAGGAGTTTGAGAAGAGATTGAATTTACAACTCCTGTTTTAGTGTTTAATTCAGATGATATTCTCACAAATGATCAGAACCTGAGTCAGAAAAATCAGCCAGGGTGATTGTGACCTGGTTGGGAGCAAGCCATGACCCCCAGATGCAGCTCAACTTCTGTTCATCTACATCAGATATATGCCAGAGGCAGTTTCTAAGCTCTTAGTCCACAACACACTTCAGTAGGGACCAACTGGAAAGGAACTGGAGCACAGACACTCCTAAGGAAATCCTCTCAAGTATATTCCTGCTCCTGGGCAAATGGAAGAATCCTGTTTTGCCCATGGAGATGCATAGTTCTCAGTACTCTCCATTTGGAGAACAAGAGAGCCGCTGGAGGAAGACACTATTTGCTTTACAGAATCACAAGGCATTCCCTTTGCAAGAGACAGTGCTTAAGTGCTTTTATGGATGGATCCCAGTGAAACAAAGCTCTCCATTCTCAGTGGGAAATCTTAACCAACTGCTAAGATAACCCGATCTGGTCACAGTTCTGCTTGATCTTGATACCATAAGATAGAGATGTCTTAGCAGGTCTCAGTGTCTGAGCAGGGAGATATCTACTTGAATGACTGCAGCTACCTGACAGCATTGCCTTCAGTATATAGTAGGTAATCCTTCTCCATAAATAGGCTAATGGTAAAAACCTGTGCACTAGGACATGGGAGACCTGGGATCTAGCCCCCCCCCCATCCCCCATCAGAGATCTGGCACCTACATATCCTAGTTAAGTACCCTAACCACTATGCTATAGGCTTAACTAGACTGAGAGTAACCTGCACCCCTCTGCCTTAAAGCTGAGCTAATAGGAAAAATAAAAAGATTCCCAAGCCCTATGGGACAGCAAACAAGTGAGAATGCATCTCTGTAGCCCAGCTAAGTGCCCCCCCCACCCCCATTGAAAGAGACCTAGATCCTGGCCCCTGCTCCCAATATTGCTGATGCATTTTAACAAAACTGACTAGATCTCTAGCATAAGCAATAAGGATTTTGCAGATGTCAATATCTGTGTCTCTCAGCAGATGCTTGTAAAAGTTCTCTTTTGATTTTCTACCTCACACATCTGGCTGGTGCATGCCACATTCTGCAATCAGAGGCCAGTACCTAGTTGTCAAGCAAACTGACTTTCCTCAGGTCAGATTTGATGCTGCTATAGTCTACCAGTAAGTTATGCACTTTCATTCATTCTCCCACCAAAAAACTTCTTTGTGGTCTGGTCATCATCACACATGCAATATATGCACC